TCGGACTCTATCGACGCCTATGGGAGTCGTGCGTGTCCAAACACATCGATGGCCAGAAGCTAGAGCAGAGCAATCAGATCTTGAAGGAGGCTAGCAGACACCTGACTAAAGAGAGGGACGGACTTCAGCTTCGCCACGACAAGCAGCTGTCTCGGCTGCGCTTCTTTGAGCAGGCACTGGAATCATCTCGGGGTCGATTGACTAGGATCCTCGATGACTGGGATCACCCTTGCAGACTCAATCTACCAGGGTTTTTGGACAACGCAAGAGAAGAGTGAAGCATTGCATGTTCATATCTGTCCTATGTCTTACTTTAACAACTTGGAGATAATACGACAGAGCCGCAATTGAAAGAGAATTACCGCATGGAAGCATTCTATATTTGGCACGTATTTACAGTAAGAAGAGCATAGACTAGCCTTCGTGGAATGCGGTAGAGGCTCCATACTAGGCCATAGGGTCATGCGGAAGCTAATGGCTACTGCACCAATCCTATGTCGGGCGACTTTGTCTAGTAACTGCCTGCGTACCCGACACAGATTCCCAAGGGCCGTTTCAACCCGGGGAAAAAGAACATATGCTCTCCTATAGTCTCGCCAGATGTCGAACCAAACCGAGCTAGTCGACACTCTATCTAATGCACCTCTTGGAAAAAAAAGGCGAACGCTGACATGTAGAAATTATCGCTAGCCTGAGTAGAAATGAACGGAGAATCTGGACCCGTCCACTTGAAGCCGGACAGATTGTCGTTATTGGGGTTAAAAAGCTTTCATTCAAGGGAGACCCCCGGTCCCATATTCTGCAGGCTCGGTTTCATCCTAGATAATATGTCGCGGATCCAGATCCGTGGCAAAACATGAGGGCGTTGTCGATATACTAGAAGACTTCTGCCAGATAGCGTGAAGGTCGAGATCCAAATCACAGTCACTAACTTTAGCGCAAAACACGCGTTGAAGAAACATGTACAGACAATACTTGCTCATTTCGTCCATGTCAACTCAGGATCTGCTGGTGAGAAATTACAGAAGTGTATAAAGTAGCAATTAGCGGGTTGGGAGGGACAAGATGCCGCAAGCTGAGCAGAGATGTTATTTATCTTCAATTATAAAATATCCAAACGTGTCCTTATCCACGAGCGCCCAACAATACTGAGACCTTATCAATTCCCATTAACATGATAGGCTTGAGGATCGCTCGCTTGCAAGGCTGAAACCACGCCGTTACAAAGGGCCTGAACTGCTCGTTTTCGATCCCACAATACCAATTTCTGTTCCTCGCAAAGCTGTAGAAGGATGTCGCTGTCGCCTGCTAGCCACTCATTCAACTCTTGAAGCTGTCGCTGCTCATCCTCAAGTCGCATCTTCTCGGCAGATTTGACCACGTAGCATTCCCATAGGCAAAAGTACAAGTCGAGCAGCTTGAGGGCTGGCGTAGCGAGGGTGTCATTGTATTGTAGAATTTTCATAAACTCCGCCGTCAGGGCACCAGGTGTCACTGGGATCTGCAGAGTATTAGTTTCTGTTCGTTTCTTGGCGAAGAGGTATGACCGACCTTGGGCTCGACGATTGTGCCGTTTGAAGATTCTTGCGGGTGGTTTTCCAACTTGGAATCATCTTCCCCATCTTGGGATACCCGACGCTGTCTCTTCGCTGGCCGATCAATTGGAGAAGGCGAG